AAATACACACTTCAGACATCCCTCTCCCCACAGATACAGGCCCACAATGTGCTTTGGGAATGGCGCTGCCTCAGCAGTGTCCTCCTAAGCACACAAACACCACATGGAGGCCTCATGCACAGACACTCCCCTCAGGAGGGGCTGCTTTGAGAGGGATACCTGGGTTAACAGCTTGCACAGAGAGTAAATACTTCAGACACCCCTCCCTCCACAGCTACAGGCCCACAATGTGCTTTGGCAATGGTGCTGCCTCAGCAATGTCCTTCTAAGCACACAAACACCACATCCAGGCTCCATGGTACAGACATTCCCTTCAGCAGAGTCTAATTTGAGGGGGATACCTGGGCAAACAGCTTGCACGGAGAGAAAATACACCCTTCAGACACCGCTTGGCCCCATTTCTCCCCACGTGCAGTGAGGAATCCTGGGGGCAATGAGCTCAGCAGGAGAGCGATACCATGCGTGCCCAGGCAGGAGAGATGGCGTGTGAGGGATTGCAGGAGCCAGCCATGAGCATGGGAATGAACCTGCAGGTGTAGGTGTGCTCCTCAGGGGGTGTGTGCACGCAGGGAACAGGAGGAAGGTGATACATTACATTCAATGTTGAACTTCACCTTTTGGCAGACACTTTTCTCACACAAACACATTCACCTGCCCGTTCACATCAATACTCAGGCAACTTGCACTGCTCTGCAGTGGCCTGGATACCTGAAGGTCAGAACTCATCATGGCGAAGGAATAAGAAGCCAATGTTCTGGGAAAGCAAAGGGATAGTGAAGATCTACATACTGGGATGTTGGAAGTCTTGCCATAAGGACTTCTCTATTGCTATCTTCTGAACCCTCCTATTTTCCACTTCAGAGAGTGGGAACGTGCACTCCTGAGCTAGCAAAGCAGCAGTCTGAAACCCTAAACCAGACACTAACCACCACCACAATCCAAGATAGGAAGATAACACACTCCCAGTGCTATTTACTCACAACAATCAAATGTGGAGGAATGGGAGTAAGTCGAAGCAGCTGGGAAGGGCAGGTTAAGAAAGGGGCCCCCAACCCCTTGTTCCTACAAGCTGCACCTCCCAGGATTCCAACCTGATCCTGAACACCTTCCCTGTGCTCGGCTCAGTGTGACACTGAGCACAACCTGCAATAAAAGCAATCAGTACAAATGATTTATAGACTCCTGAAATACCATGGTCTTTGCAGCAGAAAAAACACATTCTGCATAGCAATGGCTGGGAATGACCTCACCTCCAAGTTTCTACAGGGATGGGGCTGGGTTTTCACTATGCTGACACAAGATTTTTCTGCAAGCACAGCCCACTGACACTGACACCAGCCTCACTCCCTCAGTCATACCCTGCTGCACAGAGGGCAAGATGAGGCACTGCTGGGCACAGAAGAGAAAAACAGAGGGAGCAGGAGGAGTTGTCAGACCCACCAATTCTTCCATCCAAACAGCACTGGGAAGTGGCAGTGTTTTGGGACGAGGGTTTTCCCTGAGCAAAGACCTCTCCCTGCCCTGAATAACATCAGTAAAGGCAGGATGCAGAACTTGCTCTCCAGACCTCTGTGTTTTCTCCCTCCCCAACACCTCTTTAAATAATAAAGTTTCCCCATCTCCAGCAGGAGCAAAGTGTGCTGTGTAGCAGCTCATAAAGATGAGGAAAACATTCCTAGTGGAGAGCCCACTCCAGAGAGGTTAGTGCCTGTCAGCAGCAGCAGCAAATAGACTGTCTCCAGCTCTCTGGGTTTCCTGGCAGGGAGGCAGTGTCCTGCCTGTTACAACTTGTTTTGGATGACAACAGGCCACATTCCACGTGAGGAGAGTGTGCCCATCTCCAGCTCGCAGCAGGTTGCTTGTTTCTCTTCTCTCAGCTGTAAACATGTTTAAGATTCCTATAAACACCTATTGAGCAGCAAACCAGCCAAACATGCTCAATTAAAAAAAAAAAAAAAAGAACCAGAAGGCAAACCCCACAAGAACAGAAACACCCTCCTACCCAGGAGCAAACAGGCCTGCCAACAAGGCTCCCTGAAAAGAATATGTAAGAGTATATCACCTTAATACACTCACATCACAAGGAAAAAAAACCAAGTTATTTTCCTTTACCTGACCAACTACTCATTTCAGCATCACCTTCAAAGGAAAGCCATCCCTCACAAGCGCCCATACTATCCTCTGTGCCTGTCCAGCCCATCCCAACCTCCCTGAAAGCTCAACTTTCCCAATCAGCTCTGGCACACAGAAATGCCAAGCCGTGGTGTACACCAGGCACGAGTTCTGCACCTCAGGCTGATCCTCACAACCTTTCACTTGAACATTACAGCAAAGCTTTCCTCAGGCCAGAGACTCTCCCAGCACATGGTGATGAAGCATCATGAATGCCAATGGATGCTGATGATTACAGGACATTCTCCTCAACTCCTCATTCACTTTTATCCAATCTATTTTACCTGCTTGACTTTGCTGCACAGCAGAGCGGCACACACCTCAAGAGAGGACAGTCAGGGCCCCAATTTTTCAGCATCACTTACTCAAACACCCATCCCTGGGCGTTGATCTGCCCTCTCCAGCACACACTGACCTGGGGGGTAAGAGAAGGAGAGGAGCACAAAGGTCAGGGGGATCCACCATGCCTGGAGACTTGCTCTGAGACAGACTTGAGAGCAGGGATGCTGTGGGGACATCACAGGGGCTTGTGCTCCATCTCATGCAGGGCTGAGAGAAAGAGCAATATTTTCAGAGTCTTTACAGCTTTGCAAGAGGAAGACTCACTTCTCTGGAAAAAGAATAACAAACTTGGCTTTCCATACACAGGCTGTACTATAATGCCTTTTAGAGTGGCAAGAAGAAACTCCATTACAGGCACAGGAGATGGAAACAGTGATCTCCTGCAGATCTTTCAAGCCCAACGGCTTTTCACCTTTCTGGCCCCAATGGAAGAGCCTTTTAGCCTTTTGTCTAGAAAAATTGCTCAATAAAGAGCTTTTGTATTTTATCATTAATAACTGTTGCATCAGCTAAGTTGGGGTGGCAGCTCTTGGTTGGTCCCAGGAGTGACTTACAATAGGGCTCCCACCTGGGACATGCAACAGAAAACAATGTAGAAACAAGGCAAAAACTATTAATTGCTTGCAGAGTCACTCCCCTCCTCAGCTTCCCAGGATCGAGGAAGGAGTCACCACAGGGAGTCACAAACACAGCCATCCCTCTCCCCAAAGAAGAAAATATTACTTAGCTTTAACAGCCAAAATAAAACAAATACTGTTTGTCTTCTGCTCGGATTTCTGATTTCCCTTACAACAAAACAGGCTTTTAGAGGCAGTAGGGCAAGAGGAAGGGTGGGGAAGGTCACAGATTAACCTTCCTCCTGCTAGCAGGTTCCAGGATTCTGGCTGCAAGGCCAAGAAAACATGACACGAAGTGCCCAGTGTGACCACAGCCCCCTGTGATGCTGAGCCACGAGGAACTGCCTGTCAGAGGATTTTACCCTCCTACCCTGTCCAGGAGCATTTAAATACCTCCTGTTTGCAATGAGCAGCAATGTCTCTGGTGGATTTGAGAGAATCTGGAATTTTATATAATTGAACTTTAATATAATGCAATTATTTTGTTCATGTTATGTTTTGGTTGGTAGTAACTGCAGTCATCTCACTGTTTCCAGTTTCAGTCTTAGAACGACTTTTGTAACAGAGATGTAAAAATAACCCTGCCTTAGAGCAAAGAGGAATAATCCATTCACCAAGAAAGTTGTTTTCTCCTGCACGTCTCTGCTTCACCCTCCTTCTCCCTCTGCACTGCTGGCAGTGAAAGGACCATCAGCTGTGCAACCCCAAACACCCGACTCAGCCCCTCTCTCCTCATAACCACTATTTTAAATACTTCCCTCTTGTTTTCTCCCTTGCTCCTACACGAGCCCTCTGCCCACCTGTACAAATCTTCTCTAAGCATTTTTGGTGGGGTTTTGCCAAAGTGATGTACAGTGAAAGGCATGGTGAGATTGCATGAAAGATGTAATGCAAAGCAGACTCATAGGGCAATTCATCTTCTCATTCCACCAAGCATAAAACGAGGATTATTACTAGAGGACTTATTCTAGCCAAAAAAATCAAGACCTGTACTCTGCTGGAACAATAAATATGTCTTTTTAGCCTTAATATCATGCATAACACAGAACAAATATACAAGCAGAAGTCCTGTAATGGACTTTGTGGGAGTAGGCATTCATGGTGCTCCTTGCACAGCCACAGTCCAAAGCTTTAAGACAGAAACCAAGCCTGACTCGTGGGAGTATAAATTAGGAGGTTTATAACACATAATGAAAGCACCAATATACTGGAAAGTATCAACAGTTAAGCACTAACATGTAGTTAAACATACTTTCAATTTAGATTAGTACCGAGTACTAACATGGTTTAATAAATAGCAACAACATCACAGGCTTTTACCAAACCATGAGCCATTCGAAACTTTTCTGTAGCTCAAAATAGAGAAGGGCAAAAAACCACACGACACTGACAGAGTTTTCCTCTATTTCAGAAAGCAAAGCGCAGCTCGTTGCACTTTGGGGAGCACAGCAGGGCTCAGGCAAAGTTCGCACGCAGCGAGCCCGTTAGCGGGCGGGCAGGGCGCCTCTCCCGGGCGCGCATCCCCTCCTGCTCCTCGCATCAAAGCCGCCTTCAAAGCATCTCTGCTGCCTTACGGGTTCGCACCAAGAGCGAGAGACATCTCAAAGCCGCGGCACCGGGCTCCACAGCTCCAGCACGGTCAGCTTTGGGTAGGTCTCCCGGCAGAGAGAAGGGGTGAGAGCCAAAAGGCAAGGCCAAAAGCAGGGAAGGGAAGCCCCAGCGCCCGGCCGCTCCCGGGGGCCAAAGCCGCGCTCCGAGCCCCGCGGGGCTCCCGAGGTCCGCGGGTGCCGGGGCTGCGAAGGACGGGACCCTCCCGCTCCCTCCCGCTCCCTCCCGTCCCCTCCGTTCCCGCTGCCGGGGATCACTCACTGCGCTCCGGGGCAGCCCCGCCGCCGGCCGCCGCCACCAGCTCCAGGTAGGCGGCCCAGAGCCCGAGGGCGAGCGCGCCCAGGGCCAGCAGCAGCCGCAGCTGCCTCCGGCGCCGCAGCCGCGCCAGCAGCCGGCCCCGCATGGCGCCGCTCAGGGCGCCGGGCCCCCGCCGCCCCGGGCCATGGCTCCGGCTCCGCTCCGGCCGCACGACCCCGGCGCTGCCGCCCAGCGCGGCGCGGGGCGGGCCCAGGTGCGCAGCGCCGCCCCCGCGGGCAGCCCCGGCCCCGCGCTGCCGCCGCCCCCCGCACCTGCCTCCGCCCCGGGGGCTCCGCGCCCGCCCTGGCCGCACCAAGCCGCCTCCGTGGCGGTGGAAGCTCCGAACCCCCCTCACTGCCGCTCTGCGCGCCCCAGGAGCGTTGGTGGCGTTGGTGCGTCCCGCCGGTGAGGATCGGGACGGTAACTCCTCGGCAGGGAGAGAAGTGGAATGAGAGGAGACGATTCAAATTCACGCTGGTACTACACACAGCGGAATCCACGCAACGGATTCACAGCTGAATCTAGTTAACGTGTCTCTCACCTGGTGCAACAGGTGTGTGTAATTGGACGTGCATGGCTCGGTGAGGAGGAAGAAGGCTGGTGAAGCCTCCAAACCTGCTTTCTGAAGCGGCTGAGCGGGTGCGACGTTACATCGTCAGTCCCCTCAGCGAGAGGATGTCAGAGGTTTACACAAACACCAGGACTTTTCCTGGATGAAATTGCTGCTTCATTATGTGTCCCAAGCACACTTTTGAAGTGACTTCTCAGAGTCTTTGCCGTGCTGTTGGTTTCATTCACATCACCAAGCTGTCTTGGAGGCTGCAAACTGCATTCCTCCTCGGTGAAGGAAAATGGGAGATAACATCTGGCACATACATCATGTATCCAACTGGGCAGCTAGTCCAGAGCTACCTCTTTCCAAAAAGGGAATGTTGTGATGTGGGTATTGGGTCATTGGTGGTGACTGTTTTCCTTCACAGCTCCACTCCTGCACAGATGCAGCTCCTGTGCTGTGTGGGACCAAGAACAGAAGCTCTCAGGCTGAAGTTGGTTTTTAAAATTATTGAAATTATAGTACTTTCTTTTTTTCTTGAGACCCCCCTGGAAACAAACCCATGGTGTGGGAGCCTGGTGAGTGGCTCTGTCCTTGGGCTCCCCCAGCCTCCCTGGGACGAGATCCATGGTGCAGCTTTGGAGGATGCAACACTTGTGTTCCTCCTTCCTACCCCATCTGAGGCCACAGATGCACATCCATCATCCGAGCCTGAATAATGGGGCATAATTCCTCCAGTGTAAACAGAAAGAGCTGCCAATAGCCAGACAACACCAGTACACACACAACTAAAAATGGGAAACTCTGTGCAGTTTAACAAGGCAGGATTCTCATGGGGACGTGACACTGTTAGAGTTCTTTGGTGGTGTGTTAGTTTGAGGTTTATCCAGCATGAGAGAAATAAACCAAATTTTTATATGTGTTCCAAAAAAGGCAGAAAATACTAAGAAAAGTGTGTAATAAATACAGATCTAAATTTAACTTTGTTTAAAGAATGAGAATTGAATTATGTATTCTTAGCAGAAAGTTGTCTGCATTTCTTAAATGAACAACTGTATGCTTGAAAAAGAACAACTGCACTTTGTTGCATATTAAAATAAGTAATCACATTTTTCTCTAGTGAGCATTGTACAAAAATGGAGGGAAGGGAAAAGTGAAAGTAAAGGCTAACAGTAGTATCGTCAACTTCTAAAGAAACAAACTTCTTGATGGAACTGTGCTGTGATACAGAAAAGCTCTTGTCTCTGGAGAAACAGCTTAAGGAAATGACTATGGCATGATCATATCCATTACAATACAGTTACAGCAGAACAGTTTTAAGGAACAAAATTAATCTGAATGTGTAATAAAAAGTGAAGTCATAAACTTCAATAGCTTATTCTGGACTACTTATTCATTGCAGAAAGAACAGATACTCAGGAATAAGATTCTGGCAGTGATGTTCAAAAGGACCTCACACAACTGTTTTTATCTCAAGTCTGCTAGCAGTCTTAGAGTCTCAGATTCCCAGGCATCCCAAGTGACAGGAGTGCCCAGCCCTCCACCTCTCTCATCCTCAGTGTGTGCCATGTGCTGGGGGCAGCCCTTCAGGGAGAGGAAAGCAGGTGAGCTGGAGGTGTGGTGAGACAGGAGCAGGGCCCAGGGTGTGTGGAGGTAACTCTAACAGGAGCTGGCGCTGCTGATGGACCATCCTTGGATACTGGATATTGCTGCTGGCTTCAGGACACATCTCTCCCAGCCTACCCATAATATCCACTTCAAAGAAACTGGCTCTTTGCCAGGAGTATTTTTTGTCTTTCTTTGAGCTGCTGTTTGTTTTCTATTTTGGCTATGCTCCCTCATGATAAAAGCAGCCTTTGATACAAGTGCAGCACTTAATGCACATCTCCTGTTCCTCCTGGCTCACTCCTCTCTAGATGCATCTCTGAGCATCTCTGCTTCTTGTTATGTTTTTGCTTCCAATTATCTAACAACTGTTTCTCTGTTCTGTAAATCTTTTAGCTCCATGCCAACATTGTTTCTCTCTAGGTTCCCCAAAGGTTCAATTATCTGCCACTTGCTCCTTCTTTGTTCTTGCGCAATTTTCCACACTAATTACAAGCTCCACACCAAAGATACCCAACTGTCCCTTGACTTCCCCACCCTGGTGGCTCCATGCTCCTCTTCCTGACCTCAGCTGTGCTCTGAAGCACAATGACTTCATCTCAACATTCTCCATAGAAATGGCTCAAAGGCAGAAGCGTTTCTAAAAGGAATAAGCAGTTTCTGAAGACACAGCTCCCCGTTATTTCTCTTTTTGGCGCCACAGGATTTGATTTGGCTCTAAAAGGCATTACTAGTGGGGCAATCCCAGAAAAATCCCTGTCAATGCTGCAGTTGAACATCACTGTTAGGGAATCAGTGCAGCCCCACAATTAAAATCCTATCAGCACAAGGATCTCCTTGCTCAGCTAAGTGGTGCTGATACAAGGGGTTGTGCTGCCATGGTCATATTTTACTGTTACAGTAAAAAAGAAAAATTATAAAACAAAGGCTTCATAACATCAGGTCTGCTCTATCAGTGGCTAGCCTTGTCAAGTCAGCAGTTTGCAGATTTCCATGTGAAAGCAATCCTGGTGTGAACAGTTCATTAATATAACAACCTATTCCTGGGTGAAAAACAAGCAGCACCTGCATAAACATTAAATCTACCCCATGGGAACCAGTGAAGAAAATATGTAAACAATTTAAGAGGAGAGAGGTTTGATGGACAGGTAAAATAGCTTTTACTAACCAATAAATCGGCAAGAAAGCTCCTAACCAATAGGAATCCCACACAAGGTTTGTAAAAGTGTATAAAAACGAGTTACATGAATAACGAATAGGCTTTTTCCACCACGAAGAAAATGGAGTCTCATGTGTTTTATTCTGATATTTTACCAATACAGTTGCACTGCCAGGATTTGTATGGTGTGGCCTGGGTTGAGGTTTGTGATTTCCTCTTGCTGCACACACAGCCATGACTTTGACTGACAGGATCAGGATCCCATTGCTCTCTTACCACTTGGCTGTTTGGGTGCAAAGCCTCATTCATGATTGTATCTTCTCACTGCAAAACTCCTTCCTTAGCTCTCAAGTCCCCACTGTCCCCATAAAGTTACATAGAAAGGGTTTCCCTTCCCTTTCAGCTGACAAGAAGTCACATTTTCACATGAGCTTCTTGCAGTGCTCCAGGAACACCTCCTGATTTCAGATCCTGCCCCAGGAGTTGGCCTAAATTGCTTTTTTGCACATCAGAACCATCTCTTGATACTTAGAGCATACACTTGCACTTCCTGAAAAAGGTTTTTCTATACTTTAAGCTGAGAACTTTCAAGAGACTTTGCAAAGTCTCTTTAGATATTTATCATAATGAAAGATGGACATATGTGAGAATTTGGGAAATCCATGTCTAGTCTTGCATAACTTCTTCCTTCCCCTGTCTTAAACATAATAATACTTGGTTTCTATTTTCAGTGGCTGTGCTCATCATCCTTGCTTTTCAAGAAGTCCCAAAGATGCATCATAGTCACGTTATCAGAGACATTACAGATCACAGAGATGAGCAGCATTCCCTGTAGACATCTGTCCACCCAAGCTAAGATTGAAGAGGAAAAAGTGTTGTACTGGATGGTTCAGAAGTGACACCATACTGAGAGAAATGTTTACAGTAAGAGAAAAGCAATTTGATCTCTGAATCAATACAGGAGCATTTGGCACAAACCAGACATTCCTCACCAAGGTAAATCCTGAGCTTTTTATTAAAACCAAACCCATTTCAAGGGTGGTCAGTACATTTCCCTTCATGCCTGTGCAGTTAATAATTGTCTTTAACCTTGAACCATTTCTGTGTTAAAAGCCCTTCTGGGTTTTCTGAATAAACCCAAATAATCTGTATTTACACATCTGTCCCCAGTCCAACAGCATCACATTCTTAAAATATGCAATTTAGTCAGTGGAAGTGAACAGTCAACGCTATTGAGGGCTCTGTTTTTCAAGCTGCATTTCTAGAGCTTGCTGGAAGGGCACTCACTCTACTCCACATTCAAAGATGCCTTTTCTCCAAGAGTTCCCTTGGTGCTAAATGGGAGACACCACAAGTCCACTACACTCTTCTCAAATACTTCAGTCATAGCAGAGATGTTTCCTGCCCGTGGGTTAAATATTGCTTACCTCTGATGGCCTGTTTGGGACAGTAGGTCCTTAATATTTGATGCAACCTAAGAATCCAAACATTGCTCATTTTGTCTAAAACCTTAAAAAGGCAGCAAGCAAAAGGAATCACTGCAGCTCCCACCACTCACACTTTCTACACTGTGTCCAAGAATGTTTTGGTGCATAATCCCAGTCTGCAGGATAAAAGATGTGTATACTTCTACAGCTAGACTTGCACATTTAAGGAAAATGCTTTAGGGAGTAGAGTTACAATCTAAAGGAACTGGAAAATACAAAGGCAAAACATTGCAAAAAAATTAGAAAGAAAACTGTCCCTAACATGCTCATGACTTATGATACCACTTTGAATGGGGACAAAT